CTGACTGCAGTCCCCAACAACTTTAGGAATTTGAGAAGTCTATAGATTTCAGAAAATAAACTAGAGGACACTGGTATAAAGCTGTTATGTGAAGTTGTAAAACTTCCCAACTGCCATTCAGAGAATCTTAGATTGGAGATAACTGTGAGATAACCGCTGCCTTCTGTGAGGACCTCGAATCTTCTTTTATCCACAGTAAAGCCCTGTGGGGAATCGGCCTGTTGGAGAATGCCTTGGTCAACAGTGGGGTCACTGTGCTGCCAAAGTGTGACCTGTATGCAAGGGCTGCAAAATCAAGAGTTTCTGACCACAAAAAAAGAAAAACTCCTACTTGATCATCCTAAGCGGTGTATAAGAGAAGCAGAAATTAAGAGTGAAAACCCCATTCCAAGGACTGAACATATTCTGACCCAAAACCACATACAAAGGAGGGGGCCTGGACCCTTACTTGCACACCTTTGTGTAAGAGTTGTAAAAAGCCAAGAGCAGGGAAGCTAGAAATCATAACACAGCCCAAATCCCTCAGAAATTATGCAGACAAGCCCTTCCTATGCAAGCCTTGCCTTGCCCTAAGCAAAGACACTTCAACAAATGGTCCAGAACTCTACTCCTACTGTTGAATCATCTTCCTGCAACTATGTAATCATCCTTATTGTGAATCTGCATGAGCTGTCCTGCTCCTTGTCTATACAGCCTGTGAAGAAGGAAGGCTGCTTTTAAAGTCTCTCCTCTCTCCTTCTCACCATTTGACTGACCATGCTGACCATCATATAAATATGAATCTCGTTCGAGTTTTCCCGGAAACATCCAGAATCATGCTGGAATGAATCCTTTGGTGCCATTACCCAGACAAGTTAATGAATACGATGATTTTAATGGAGGCCCTAATGGGATAAAATATACCCACTCAGTAGGAGGGATTCCATGCCTGGAAATTTAAACCCAGTTAAAAACCTAATGCCGGTGAAGTCATAGGCCCCAACAGGGCAGTACAATTATTGTTTATCTAAACTGACGTTGTATCAAGTTGCCTTGTAAACACCTCTGTTAACCCTATCAACTACTTTCAACATTAATCAAGAAATTTTTCTTTACAATAAATGGTGGTGGTGGTTGCAGAAACCCTTCGGCTCCTTGAGGTACTGAAAATAAGGGGTAGTTGGGTGTTCAGCCACTAACAGGACATTTACACCATTCATTCGAAAGTTCTGGCAATACTGCAGAAGGGAAAAAGAATGTAAGGCCCTCAAAATAGAGAAAAGTCCAGCAAAATGCTATCTTCTGGGCATGACACACTCAATGCATCTGAACTCACAGGTTGCTTATGCTGGGCCCATAGCAGACTGGCCCAGTCAACAAACAACTGTGGACTGTAGGAAAGCCCACAGGGCCCTGTCTCTCCCCTCAGAACTGTTGGCTACTGATGAATTCTTGTGGAGAGGCAATGCACATCACACACACACACACACACACACACACACATATAAAGAAAGAAAAATTAAAAAGTAAGAGTTGGTGAAAATAAACAAAAGGGCTACATTTCGTGTGCCGTTACTGGCAGTGAACGATATTACAGCCATTACATAATGTTAGTTTCACATGGCTATTCTTCAAACAGTTACTGGGTTACACAGAATTTTGTAGCCCCTAAGTAGTGAGTGTACATCAAAAAGAAAATTCAAAACATGTCAAAAGATATTTGCACTTGAATATTTATGGCAAAATTATTTATAATAATCTAATTATGGCATCAACACAGCTACCGATTATTTGAATAAGGAATGAAGATAACATTGTCCACATGCACAACAGAATGCAATTCAGTCATGAAAAAGGTGGATTCCTCTCATTTGCAAGGAAACAGATGAGCTAAGACATTATACTTAGTGAAACAAACTGGACACCTAAGGATAAATATCACAGAATGCCACTCGTGAGATGGCTCTCAAAAGAGCAAAAAATCAGAAACTAAGAATTAAGTTAGAATACATGTGATATTAATGAAAGACTGTGGATATTGAGAGCGAAATGTATGAGCAGGGATGGGGGCAGGAGGCAGGAAAAGGAAGCACAGGGGTGGGTTAACTGAAACTAAGAATGCATGAAGAAGGCCTATGAAACCCAACTCATTTGTAAGCTAAATAAAATACAGATCAACAAATGGGTTTGAACAGATGTCTTCCACATTGGCGAACAATGCTGCTCCCAGAAGACATGGGTTATTAACTGAAAATCTCAGAGAAAGACATGGGCTACCTCCTCATGAGTTACTGGACACAGAAGTTCCAGAGACATCTAAAAGAGCTCAAGGTATTACTATTGTCATCACTCTTCATTGCCGACCATCTACGTGGTAAGATGTTGTCCTAGTTTGTTCTCCATTGCTGTGACAAAATACTCTGACCAATACCAACTTGGGGAGGAAAGGGTTTATTTGTCTTACATCTCCCAGGTCACAGTTCATCCGGGAGCCCAAGGTAGGAACTCAGGGCAGGAGCCGAGAAGCAGGAGCTGAAACACAGGCCATGGAGGAACACTGCTTACTGGCTTGCTCCCCTGGCCCCTGCTCAGCCTGCTTTCTTATGCAACACAGGCCCACCTGCCCAGGGGTGGCACCACCCACAGTGGGCTGGGCCCTCCCACATCACTCAACAATCAAGAAAGTGTCCCATGGACATAGCCACAGGCCAGTCCAATGAAAGCAATTCCCCAGTTGAGGCTCCCTCAACCCAGGTGTGTCAAGTTAACACCAAAGCCATCCAGCACAGATGCTAGTATGAAAGATACCACACTGCACACTCTGATTGCAGGACAGAGGAATCCATCTTTTTCATTCATTTTTACATTTTTTGCTTTAACTTCTGTGGATTTCATACAGTATATTTTGATAGTATTTAGAAGCCCTCCTGTACCTGTAACCTCCTTCATAATCTCCCACCAAATTTCTGTTCTCTAATATATACATTAAAATTTCTGCATTCCAATGTATATTATTGTTGGGTAGGCATGTCCACTGAGGAAACTAGAACTTAACCCCTAGAGATGGACACTGAGAAACATTGAGCACACTGGGAAAAAGTGGAGGGGTAGTCGCCATTTTGGAACAGAGCGCAAGGACTGTGACAGGATGCGCAGTTGATGGCATGGATCTCAAATACGGGAGAGAAAGAGCCCACAAGAGCTCATGTCTTTGTAAGTGACCTTCTAAACTTCGTTGGCAAACCCAAATAAATATTCTTATTCCCCAAACTGTAACTTAAGAGGAACATTGTGATGGTTTAGTTAGAACCATGCTCTCTGGGATCCCAGAGAGCACACGCGGGTCTCTCGCGAAAATTTGGTGCAAAAATTATATATAGTTATATATGTGTATAATATATATATTAAGGCCTATAAAATGAGATCTGTGTCCCTAAATGGGCCTCAAGATATGTTCACCCACTGGAACCTGGTAAACCTAGTAAGAGTCTCATCCTTATATGAGACTGAATCTCTCCTTCCTAGCAGTCATTAGTCATAAGTCATTAGTAAGTCCTCAGAGAGAGTTGGGTTTCTGACCTCCTTCCCCATCTATGCTGGAATATTTTTCTAGCCTACATGGGACTAGTCCATGATGTCAGCATTACTGAGCGTTCATATGAGTAACTGGCTAGCTGTCAGGAAAATTGTTTCCTTGTGGTCATCTACCTCCTCCGGTTCATACAATGTTTTACCCTGTCTTCCATAATAATACCTGAGCCTTGAGACGCAGAAGCTTGGTATAGGCTCTTGTTCAGGGATAAGCATCAGCCTCTGAATTTCTGCACGTTGGCCAGTTGTGGTTTTCTGTATTAATCACCATCTGCTGTGTAAGCAAACTTCTCTGCTGAGAATTGAAAGATGTGTTGATCTAAGGGTATGGCAATAAGTCATTAAAACAAGTCTAATACTATATCTGTTTATCAAAATAGTTGCATTAGGCTTTCTACCATGGCCTGTGGGATGTCTAGCCTCGGGCTCCTAATCCTGATATTGTCAGGTATGGGTCCTCTCCAATGAAGCAGACTTAAAAGCCAATTAGAAAGCAGTTGGTTACTCCTGTAATACGTGTGCCACTACTGCCCTGGTGGGCAGATCTTCCAGGCCAGTTGCTGTAGCGTGCAGGATTCACAACTGGGTAAGGTTCATGCTGATTTTTTCTTCAGGTATGTTGCATAGCAACTTCCAGTACTAGGAAAGCTAGAAAATAGCGATGAGGCTTTGAAGTCAGCATCAGCATGATTTCTCCGTGTTCATGCTACAGTTCATGTATATAGTGCCTTCACCAATAGGATATTACAGTGAGGTTCTAGTGGGTAACCAAGAGCAGGGACAATGGCCAGTGTTGTTTGACTGTCTGTGGGATGCTAAATCTTCCTGCAGTTAAAACATACCCATACCGCAGATTTGAAATGACAATTTCTTCTCAGAATGTCTTCCTAACCTAAAAATTATCAATTTTGTTCTATCTCCAAGGAAATATCATCCAAAAGAACAGCATAGAAGAACACTTAGCATCCATAAACCATAGCTTTACCTTCCTTAAAGGTAAATATATGAACTAGAATAGCAGGATATTGGAAGTGAAGCATACCTCAGAACAGCCATCTAAAGAAAATATAAATGACTTACGAGATATTACATCCCTTAGAAAATCATAAAATGGTCTGTGAAAAAATCACACAGTAATGAGAATATATTAACTATTTATGAATTATTAGAAAATCAATCTTTTAAATCAAATGTAAAATGTTAATAAACATGCAAAAAAGAGTAAGGAAAGAAGACATTTAGAAAGAGATAAAATACATTGATGGCAAACTGAAGAACATTCCTAATTAAAGATACATAGAGGGGAGAGAAAAAGAATGATTTATCAAAGTATATCAAAGACTTTTCTCATAGTCAAAAAAATTCATAAAGTTTCTCATTGAAAAGATTAACAAAATGCCAAGTAAACATTTGAATTTAAAAATGTTCTGTCATCAGGTGAGATAATCCTTACCTGTTCATCCTTTTGAAGGGCAGATACAAAATGATGACTGGAGTTCACATGATGTGTGATTAGCGCCTCTGAGTAATCAGGACTTGCAACACTCTGGTTTGTCGTATCTGATTCTCTGAAAAAGAAAATAAAAGTAAAAATATTCTAATGTCTACTACACATTCATACATTTTCAGGCAGTAAAATAAAGAGAAAAGATGCAAAGTATCTAAAATTTAAAAATTCTGTGAAGGCCTAAGAATCAATCTGGCATCACTTGTATAAGAATGAATTCTTGGGTCTAAGAAGATGGTTGACCCAGTAGTTAAGAGAAGTTCTGCTCTTGCAGAGGACCCAAGTTCAGTACCCAGTACCCACATAATGGCTCACAACCTGTAACTCCAGGTCCAGAGAGTCTGACTCCCTTTTCTCGCCTCTGAATGTGGTGACATACAGACATAAAAACAGGCATTCACATAATACATACATAAATACAGGCATTCACATAATACATACAAACATAAATACAGGCATTCACATAATACATACAGACAGACATAAATATAAGTAGTCACATAATACATACAGACATAAATACAGGCATTCACATAATACATACATACATACATACATATATACATACATAAATACAAGCATTCACATAATACATACAGACAGACATAAATACAGGCAGTCACATAATACATATATTCATACATACATACATACAGGCATTCACATAATACATACAGACATAAATACAGGCATTCACATAATACATACATATATACATACATACATACAGGCATTCACATAATACATACATACATACATGCATGCATGCATACATAAATATAAGCATTCACATAATACATACAGACATAAATACAGGCATTCACACACATATAATAAAAATGACTTCCCCATCCCATTATTCCCCCTTTCTCATCTATATCACTGCATTCTCTCTTCCTTCCCATAAAGAACCCCAGGAAGGGTTAAATGGAGTGGAGCATGAGAGAGTAGGGCAGAGAAGGAGGAGATAATAACACTAAAGGACTTTTAAAACATCATATAAAAAATCTAATACTGCAGTGCTTCCTAAAATATAGGCATGTAAAACTTTGTGTCTTAACATCAGCCACATTTTATAAAATTTTTGAGCCTCTAAGGAAGTATTTTCCCAATTAGATGTCCTACAACAGCACTCAACATTGTTTAAATGAGTGTTCTAACCCTAGCACACATTAAAAGCCAGCTGTCCTCTGCCAGCCTTGGACCTAGGCCCACTCCAATTCCTCTGCCTCAAATCTCTGAACTAACTTCCTAACCTAGACAAGCTAAACCCCCAGCATACATTGCTAGGTCCCTCCTTGGGTGGTCCCCACCCAAGGGGTCTTCCCCTGGTTCCTGATCTACCTGACAGACCAGTTCACCTAGGACTCTGGTAAGTCAGATCCTGCCCACTGCATCTCTATTCCATTCCTACTACCATGACTGGCCTACCTACTACTCTATCCCACCAACTTCCCAGACCAGCCTAATACCCAGCAAGAACCTGAAACACACACCAGTTTATTTTTCGTATCTGAGCAAAAAGCAACCAAGCTACATACACAATACAAACAGAACCAAAATTCAATTTAATAAAGGCAGAATAGAAGTTCCTACCAGGCACACAACTAACAAAGGACACCCCTCTGCCCAAACAGCAGCACAAAAACAAAAATAATATGAAAAAGCAAGAGAATATGTAACCAACAAAACCCACTAGTCCCACAGAAGTGTACTACAATGAGAAACATCCTGAGGAATCCCAGGATGCAGAATTTAAAGAACAATCATAAACATGATCAAAGAACTTAAAGAAAA